AAAAAAAAAAAAAAAAAAAAGTCCTTTACTACGCAAAGAAGATATCAGATATCAAATCAAATTTGAGCAGAATATTTCCTAAGAGGGGTGGCACCTGTGACTCAGTGGGTAGGGCGCTGGCCCCATATACTGAGGGTGGCAGGTTCAAACCCAGCCCGGGCCAAATTTCAACAAAATAGCTAGGTGCTATGCCGGGTGCCTGTCGTCCCATTCCAGCTACTCGGGAGGCTGAGACAAGAGAATCGCCTAAGCCCAGGAGTTGGAGGTTGCTGTGAGCTGTGTGATGCCACAGAACTCTATCGAGAGCGATAAAGTGAGACTTTGTCTCTACAAAAAAAAAAAAAAAAGAAGGAAATTATTGGGCAGCACCTGTGGCTCAAAGGAATAGGGCACCAGCCCCATATGCCAGAAGTAGCGGGTTCAAACCCAGCCAAGGCCAAAAACTGCAAGAAAAAAAAAAAAAGAGTATTTCCTAAGAGATTTTGAATTTAATCCCTATTTTTCTTCTTTTTTTTTTTTTTTAATTGAGACAGAGTTGCCCTGGGTAGAGTGCTGTAGCATCACAGCTCACAGCAACCTCCAACTCCTGGGCTTAAGCAATTCTCTTGCCTCAGCCTCCCAAGTAGCTGGGACTATAGGCGCCCGCCATAATGCCTGGCTATTTTTTTTTCCCAGCTTTTGGCCGGGGCTGGGTTTGAACCTGTCACCTCCAGCATATGGGGCTGGCACCCTACTCCTTTGAGCCACAGGCGCCACCCAACACCTGGTTTTTTTTTTGTCCTTTGGCAGGCCTGGGCTAGATTTGAACCCGCCAGCTCTGGTGTATGTAGCTGGCACCTTAGCTGCTTGAGCTACAGGCACCCAGCCTTAATCTCTATTTTTCAATTGACCACTAGGCTATCTTCCCTGAAACAGACTGAAACCGCTAGGTAGAGTGACAATGACTCATCTGTCCCTGGTCCTTTATTGACCTCACTTGAAAATACCTTATCCAATATCACCCAAATGATCTGAATTACAGCTTGATAATGCTAACCCAGCCCCACAACTGAATTTCCAAGCATTATTTGGCATAGTCAGGCCCTACTGGCAGAGAAAATGGAAGAGAGGAATGAAAGAGCATTAAGACACTTACTGGCAAAAGACATAATGCCCCCGAAGCCCTCGGTGCTGGTGTTGGAGACGGTGGAGTTGGGAGAACTTGCCCGAGAGTCTGAATCTGCATCTGAATCACTTGCCAGTTTCAAGCTGTTGGGCCGCAGCATCTTTTGAGCCCTTGAATGCACAGTGGCACCTATGAGCCCCAGGCAGGGGTGCCTAATCTTGGGAGTGTAGGCCTTATGCTATACTGCAGTATTGCTCCCTTCCCATAATTCCTATCTGCCCTAGATCTAAGCACCACCCTCTGGGGATGGCAGGACCACAAGAGCACTCAGATTTCTCAGATATGCTGATTAACCTTCACCCAGGGTCCACTGTAGTGAGGTTCTTCAGTCACCCATCTAGAAGGGATTCCCAGGCTCTCACCGATTGCCATTGACAGGTTGGCTGAATCGGGGAGTATAACTTTCCCCCTGCTCATCATCATCTTCCTCAGGGGGAAAGCCATATTGGGGCTCGAAGTATGGATTGTCATAGGGTCGCCGGTGCACTGACCCCTCTCCAATTTCTGTCTGACACCTGTCCACGTTCGATTTGCCAATGCTGGGAGGCACGGAAGAGAGGGACTTGGAGATGCCTACTGCTGCCTTATCATCCATCTCTGTAGAGTCAGCAGGTTCCTAAAGGTCACATTAAATAAAAAGGAGTCATCTGGTGCCCAGTGAGGCCTTTCCATATTCTCAATCTGACAGGGTTTGGCCAGGCCTGACAGATTCCTATCTATCCTAAGGAATGTATGGGAAAAGATCTATATGGCACTCCTGTTCTCTGTCCCCACAAACTATGCAAGGAGGATCTTAGTTACACCCTGAACATAATTTAACAACCTCCTTCTGAGGTCAAAACTATATCTCATAGACCCCAACAACCTCCTTCTGAAGTCAAAACTATATCTCATAGACTCTAAGCTCTGGGGCCTATGGAGAGGAAGATAGGAAAATTGTGAAGAGAGAAGCAAATTAATAACTACATCATGGCTTTCCTACTGTAATCAAGGCCCACATCCCAAGCAATGGTTCTCATTCATCCACCTCTCTCAGTCCTCACGTACAGAGTTGGCTCCACGGATGATGGTGCTGGGGCTACTGCTGGCGGTGGTGCTGGAACTAGAGCGCAGTGGGAGGTTTTCCAGAGAGTTCTCGCTGTCTGGGCCAGGCTCCTCTGCTTCTTTCTGGTTCTGCAGCTCATCAATCTCCACTTCACTGGCATCCCCCAGTGCTGCATGTGTCAGAGGGTCCACATCTGCCAAAACCCAAAGGAGGAAAGTACAGACCACCCAATCACTGAACCCCAACCCCTGCCCAGAGCTAGCCAATCTCCCCAAGCACACTTACTGGGAGTATCACCATTGATGTCACATTTCATCATTTCACTGACAAAGTCACCAAGGGAGGAGTAAGAAGAGCTTGAGTCATCATAGTCCATACTATCACTGCCACTGCAGAGTGAGGAGCATAAAAAACAAAACAGAAAGGGGCAGGGAAAAGAATCTGCAATCAGCACTAGTTAGAATAAAAGGGAGGCACTCTTCACAAAAATGGAAGAGCAAGAATCCAATGTACTCAATATTAATATGAAGCCAGTAGACAATCTAATATATACCCACACAAGAGAAAAATGCAAATCAATGCATGTGGGGAGGACAAGATAGCGAGGATAGTGGAGGAGGGTGGGGGATAGGTGTGCTCCCACTTAATGGGCACAATGTTAGGGTAAATAGCACATCCCTTGGGAGCAGGATACAATTATAAGAGGGACTCTACCTAATGAATGCAAATATAGTAACCTAATTCTTTGTGCCCTCAAATTAACCTGAAACAATAAAAATGAAAGAAAAAAAGGGAGACACTCTTAAGTCAAGGCCAGGAAACAAGATAAAATAAAGAGGGGTAGAAAAACAATCAACCAGGCTGGGCATAGTGGCTCATGCCTATAATCCTAGCACTTTGGGAGGCCAAGGAGGACTGCTTCAGCTTACAAGTTTGAGACCAGCCTGAGCCAGAGCAAGACTTCTCTCTAAAAATAGCTTCTCTCTAACACGCCAGCCACATACACCAGAGCCAGCAGGTTTGAATCCAGCCTGGGTCTGCCAAATAATGACTACTACAACCAAAAAATAGCCAGGCATTGTGGCGGGCACCTGTAGTCCCAGCTACTCGGGAGGCTTAAGCCCAGGAGTTGGAGGTTGCTGTGAGCTGTGATGCCATGGCAATTTACCCAGGGCAATAGCCTGAGGCTCTGTCTCAAATAAATAAATAAATAAATATAAATAAAAATAAAAATAGCTGGGTGTTGTGGCAGGTACCTGTAGTCCCAGCTACTTGGGAGGCTGTCTACCAAAGGGCAACAAAATGAGACTCTGTCTCAAAAAAAAAAAAAACAACCAAAATATAATCCAAGGACTCAAAAAGTGATATGTAAATCCTATGAGATTTTGCATCCTGTATGCTGAAGGGCTAGTGAGAGCCTCTTTACCTTAAAAAGCGCTGTGCTGGCTCGGCGCCTATAGCTCAACTGGCTAAGGCGCCAGCCATGTACACCTGAGATGGAGGGTTCGAATCCCCAGCCCGGACCGCCAAACAATGACGGCTGCAACCAGAAAATAGCCGGGCGTTGTGGCGGACGCCTGTGGTCCCAGCTACTTGGGAGGCGGAGGCAGGAGACTCACTTGAGCCCAGGAGTTGGAGGTTGCTGTGAGCTGTAATGCCACGGCACTCTACCCAGGGGGACAGCTTGAGGCTCTGTCTCAAAAAAAAAAAAAAAAGTGCTGTGCTGCCACAAGGACTGCTCACCTGTCGTCAGTAGGTTCGGAGTCAGAGTCTCGCTCAGGTGGCATACTCAGTGCCTCAGCCAGCTGAGAACTGCTATCATAGACTCGATAGTGGATGGGCTGCAGCTGATGGGCATACCACTTTGGCTTGTCACCAATCAGGGCTGGATCAAACATATCTACCCCACGAGGAAAAAGAATAGTTAGCAGCAAGGAAAGAAAAGCAGAAAACAACACATAAAAGGCAGGAAAAAAGTCTGAAGCAAAACAAGGGTAAAAGATTAGCAAAAGAAAAAGTAAAGGCAAGAGCCATCGGGAGGAGAAAGGCAGGCAGACTTACTGTTGTGAATTCGCTGAAAGGCATAGTTGGTGGGGTTAAGGATCCATTCTCCAAAGTACTCCACAGCCTGAGTCCTGGCCAATTTCTCGGCAAAAGGAGTCTGCCGGGGGCGTGAGGCCAGAAAGGAGCCAGCTTGAAAAGCTACCACAGGCCGAGGGAAGAGACGCAGGGTACGTGTATGCATCTGAAAGCCCTGCAGCACGTTGGCAGAGTTGAAGAAACGCACCATGGCCACTCTAGAGAAGGAGGGGATGATGAGATAATACGAGATCCATATCCATAGAAGTAAGGATTCCTATGATCCAAGATCTTAGAACAACTCCCAGAGCCATCACTCAACAAGCTTCCAACATCAAGCGGAGAGATATGTTAAAGAATCATCAATCCCCTTCTTCATCCTGAGAATGATTTGTTTTTTCTCTTTGCTTTTACGTAAAGGTAGAAAATATAACCAAATAGCATACATATTTTATATAATGAAACTCTGGCTCAGGAAAATAATCTGCTCCAAAGTCACTGAGAAAGCAATAAGACCAATTTAAGAACTCAGGATTGTATAGTGTGCTTGGTCTTACCTGGTTGCAACATCCACAGAATCGACATCATTGCCATAGATGAGTGGGTTGAATTCAGTGGAAGGTGTGGACTGTAGGTCATTAGAAGATCTTCCCAAAAGAAGTGGGATTTCTTGGCCCTCATGAAATTTCTCCAGATTGAGGATGGGCTGTGTGTTGAGACTCATGCTCGCTAGAGCCTGTGGAACAAGAAGAAATTCCTCATTTTAGGCAGGTTCCTGGGCAGCTAGTCAATCTAAGATCCTAGGAAAGAGCCTTCTTGAAGACTTCTACATCATACTCTCTGGTCAAAAAGTTCTGCAACAAAGAAACTGTGGTAACTTGCAAACCCATTCAGACCCTTCATCTCTGAAATGATAATACAAATATTTTAGTCTTTAGCTTTTCATCTTACTCCAACCTAGCCCCAAGGCAACCTGATCAGATCTCAAGTCCAGGACAATAGTTTTCAAATTTATTTTAGTCACGAAATGTCCTTCAAAATTGAAATATAAATAAATAAAACGTAAAAACAGGCTGGGAGTGGTGGTTCATGCCTATAATCCCAGCAAAATGGGAGGCTGAGGCAGATTGATCACTTCAGGCCAGCCTGAGCAACATAGTGTATCTACAGAAAATAGAAAAGTTAGCTGGATGTCGTGGCAGGTGCCTGTAGTCCCAGCTGCTTGGGGAGAATTGCTTAAGCTCAGGAGTTCAAGGTTGCAGTGAGCTATGATGATGCCACTGCATTCTAGAGCAATACTCTGTCTCAACAAATGAACAGCTTCTCTGAAGGACACAAGGAACCACAGCCTGACATGCTCAGTGCTCCCAACCTGAATCAGCCCCCCAAGAGCAGTTTGAAAACCACTGGTCTAGATTACAGTGATTCTTATGGCTAGTAAATAAAGGAATCACTTGGGATATTAAATATGTTTGATTCAACATGCGTGGGTGATTCTGTGCCACCAGCCTTGACTCTGCTTTTAATAAGCCCAGGTGATGCTAATGCTGTTAGTCTGTGGGCCACACTTTGAGTAGGAGGGGTCAGAATACAGGATCAATGAACCTAAGAATCTTATCTCCTACAAACATTTAAAAAATAATTCCGTATATCAACATCTTCCTATTAGTAGTCATACTAAAGTAATTGCAAAGAATGAAGCAATGAAGCCAGCCAGAGAACTTTGGATTTTTCAATTTTCACCAGACTGTACAGTAACAATGTATCATATTACATGAAGTGTGATGAAGCAAGTAAGAATGAGAATGATGGCTCGGCGCCTGTGGCTCAAGTGGCTAAGGTGCCAGCCACATATACCCAAGGTGGCGGGTTCGAATCCAGCCTGGACCCGCCAAACAACAATGAC